GGGACGTTGGGACTCATGGAAAACGAGAACGACCCCAGGTAGTTGGCGCCGTTCAAGCCAAACCCGACCACCACGTCCGCCATAATGCCGAAAATCGTGCGCACCGTGTAAATGCCAGTCAAGACACGGCCGCGGACAGCCAACGGCTCGCGCTGCGAGTACTCGGTCACCATCGCATCCGATGCACACACGGCCGTGACGTACCCCAACGACACGATCATGGACAACATGATGAACTTGGTGCCCTGGTCCGGAGCGCCCAAGTTGAACAAGTCCTTCTCCTTCTCCGACGCACGCGAGAAGACGCGGGAGCACGCCGTTGAGTTCATCGCCTTGGCCTTAACGCGGTCGCAGTACGGGTCCCCCAACGAAGAAAACGTCATCACAGTCAAGCAGATCATGGTCAAGGTCCACCCAATCAACATCCACGACTTGCGGCGGTAGCCAAAGATGGGAAAGCAGTCGGAAAACAATCCCATAAACACCTTGAACGACCAGCCCATGGTCACCAACTGACTGTACGCCGACGTCTGGTACCCCTCCAAGTTGAGGTACACGTTGAAAATGGGGTAGTTGAGCGACGGAATCATGCCGTAGATCACCCCCACCGCGGCGTACTGTGCGAACAACCCAAACGCTTCTCGGGAAAACAGGTCGAGGGCCCCGCCTGCGACGATGGCACCACCTTCCAGCTCACCCGGTGTCTTGATGGCAGCAAAGTCGTCCTCCTTGTCGCCCTGGCCTTTGGTGACGGACTGAATGTACGACACGCGCTCTTCCAAGTCCACGGCGGTTCTTTGCATGATTGTCGTTCGAGTCAAAACCAAGAATGAGTCAGTGATTCTGGCAATCCATCACCTTCAACGTTTGAGAAACGTTGCTGGCCGCAAGGTTTTGGCCGTCTGTACGTGCCGCACCATCTGGACGTGACATTCTCCTTCTATGCAGTGATGAAGCTGGCTCGTGACATTTGATTGACTGTGCCATAGCCGGGTACCACTCAGGCAGTGTGACATAACTTCGCCGTGGTACTGCTTGACTCTTGGTCAGGTCTACAGATGCCTTGCAAACGAATGCAACTAATGTTTCGTGGTTCATATGAACGATTTTGCCAATTAATGCGACTAAGTACTTAGGTTGTACCGCGTAGTACTTACTATGCGTACACTTCGAAGTAGTTCTCAGTTACTTTCTGTGGAGGCATTCATCTACCACTTCTTTGGCATTGATGTCTAAAGGCATAACGTTACTCGTAAATGCCAAAACTGTATTCTGGATTACTCCGGAGTAGTATCACAATACACTCCATACTAGTTTTTACTGTATTATTGACTGTGAAGTACTCCGTAAGCGTTTCTACCCTGTACTGTAGATTGACCATGAAGTACAAATTCTCTCGAACGACACATAGACTACATTTATTGAATTAATCTTTGGTACTGTAGTATTGTATTGTGAATTCGCTATAAACTTCCAAAATTCGCCTGGTTTGTCTAATCAATATTGAATCACGCTGGAGTTCTGATTGGGTGAATATACGTGTCCTTTCTGCAAGAGCCAATCAAATCCACTCAAAAATGGATTAGCCAATAGCGTCGATTCGTGATTCGATTTGGCGGCGAGATTCGATTCGACGGGGTCTGGAAATTCGTATCGAATCCACAATGTATTGATATTATTATCCTTAAGAGCTCGGGACCAATTGCAATGACCGGTACCACAATTTTGCACTCAATGTCCATACGGACACACCGGTATATGAGGTGTGAGCATTGCGCCGCAGCTTGTCCATCTGTTCAAAGGTGAAATTGGGGGGAGTGTGAATTTTGAGAACTATTGGCCTGTTTCGGTGATGACCGTCGACCCAACCGTATCTTTCTATATTGTGTTGGATCTAGCTAGTATTGAATTAATTATTTTCCTGTAATTGTAGTACTCACTGTCAGTACTACCTACTAGTACGAAGTACTATTAATACGTAGTATTAGTAGTACAATGCTAACAGGAAGTATCGAATGTGAGTACAACATTTTCATACCACGTAAGATCAGGATGGATGACGTCATATAAAAATATATACTGTATATGGATTTGAAGATTTTGAATGATAGAGAACCCATGAATGGCGTCGTGTCATAACATTTATCCAATAAGCCGTCCCAAATGTGCTACTATTTTTATCATGCCATGCATCTCGTCGTACTGATAACTGTCGCCTATTGAATAAAAAAACCGTTTTCGTGAACAAGCAATTTGAATGGTATATGATGCACGTCATCTATCAAACTACCAACTTTTCACAAAATTTTGTGACTTCTATTTCGTATTCATTGCTCAAAATTTCAGCAAATTGAGACGTAGAATCGACAGATCTCAATGTGGTGAAGAAATTCTACGTCTCAGATTCAAATTTGGTGATGAATTATCCAGAAATAGATAGATATTTAACCTAGTGGTATTTTACATGGGCGCTGATTTGGCCATAGGGGTGACTGCTGAGATGTATCTTGATTTTTGTATATGGGACTTATCCGTATATAATATCCGGAGGCAGTTGGGACCTTTAACCTCCCACTGCAGTGATAAATCGGTATTTAACGTATTTGACTTTCGGGTTAAACTACATTATTTACTACGTACTTCGAAGTACTTCGAAGTAGTACATTATTAATAATTGTACGTTAAAGAATATAACCTCCACTCTTCGATTTGGCCAGTTGGAAGTTTTTAGATGACATGCATCATACCAATATTAATATTCGTAAAATGTACTAGTAGTTGAGTATTTTAATACTCAACTACATTTTACGTGGTATTAAAATACCACTGGGTGAAGATTTCCGTCGTTACCTGTACGTATGTACAGATAAAGTGGCCACCGCGACAATTCTATCCGACAACTTTCTGATTGGTTAAAAGTAGATGCTCATTGGCGGATGCCTCTTCAGTGGGGTGCTCAATCGAATGAGCAGCACTAACTGTAAATCGGCAGAAAATGGATCGACTAATCAAAACCCAAAACACTATCAAGTAGTCAATCAAATTCACTCTTCGACCAATTCAACACCGGATTAGTGTGAGAATTAATTAGTGTGATAATGGAAGACCGTTATACAGTATACAAAAGGCAGGACAAGATAGATTTGGCGAATCAGCACAAAAGTCCAAATTATGGGTAAAATGACAATACTATTAATAGTATACTGTACGTAAAGTACGTGTACAGTACTGCTGCCCCGTCAGCAAACAGGACTCTGTTCGTCGATACATTCGAAAAAACCAAGATAACAGTAAGCTTACTTTACTTGGTCGTTGTGTTGAAATGGTGTCTGAAGTATAGTACAGTATACGTATGAAGTGTAGTATATGTTATGATATCTACTCCGGAGTAATCAGGAATTTGATCAGCAAAATTACGTCTTTTGACGTGGAGGAAAGAGTCATAGCTAGGCGAATGCCGCCACAGAAAACAACCGAGCACTACGTAGTCCTTCGTTTGCATGGGCATCTATCAAACAGCATCAACAGAGGGCCAAGTCAAGAAAGTATCAGGGCGAAGTCATGTCGCATTGCCTGAGTGGTACCCGGCTACGGCACAGTCAATCAAATGTCACGAGCCAGCTTCATCACTGCATAGAAGGATAATATCACGTCCAGATGGTGCGGCACGTACAGACGGCCAAAACCTTGCGGCCAGCAACGTTTCTCAAACGTTGAAGGTGATGGATTGCCAGAATCACTGACTCATTCTTGGTTTTGACTCGAACGACAATCATGCAAAGAACCGCCGTGGACTTGGAAGAGCGCGTGTCGTACATTCAGTCCGTCACCAAAGGCCAGGGCGACAAGGAGGACGACTTTGCTGCCATCAAGACACCGGGTGAGCTGGAAGGTGGTGCCATCGTCGCAGGCGGGGCCCTCGACCTGTTTTCCCGAGAAGCGTTTGGGTTGTTCGCACAGTACGCCGCGG